AGTCCATGTTTTACAAATGAGTCCAGTCCATGTTTTACAAATGAGTCCAGTCCATGTTTTACAAATGAGTCCAGTCCATGTTTTACAAATGAGTCCAGTCCATGTTTTACAAATGAGTCCAGTCCATGTTTTACAAATGAGTCCAGTCCAGGTTTTACAAATGAGTCCGGTCCAGGTTTTACAAATGAGTCCAGTCCAGGTTTTACAAATGAGTCCAGTCCAGGTTTTACAAATGAGTCCAGTCCAGGTTTTACAAATGAGTCCAGTCCAGGTTTTACAAATGAGTCCAGTCCATGTTTTACAAATTTCATTGTTCTGAGTCCAGTCCATGTTTTACAAATGAGTCCAGTCCAGGTTTTACAAGTCCAGTCCAGTCCAGGTTTTACAACATGCCTTGCTTGCTACCGCGGAAGCGATAAATATATATTTTGAAAGCAGTCGTCGGTTGAATTTTGGTCAAAATTGCACATAAATTGAATTTAAAGATACTGATACTTGTCCAAGTAATAAAATGCACCATTAATGATCAGATTTGGATATTGAAGATGTTCGGTTTAATATATTTAAAACGCGGACAGGATTGGCATATTTATAGCTACTGTATGAATCTTAGCCAGACGGCATCAAATGCCGTATATATTTCGCTGAAATTTGAACGGTTTATCTTTATAAGACAACAGAACTCGGAAGACAGAAAATTTTATATAATACTGTGGCTTAGAAAGCGAAATATTAGCTTCAAAGTAAACTAATTTGCTGTCTGAGCAACCACTTCTGAATGTAAACTGTAAACACAACACAAACCCGAGAAACTTGTATTAAAATTGCGCCGTGATGAATTTTCCTATTCGCCCAAACTTCGAAACGTTTAATATACTCTAACTTGGCTATATTTTTCTACATGACAATGAGAGCTTAATCTTTTAGAAGTTTTCGTCGAAGTCATGGCATATAGGAAGTATCAAGAGCAACATTTGGACATATCCTGGTTCCCGATTGATTGTTTGTCATTGTTATAAACAAAAATTTAAATTTCGCCTACTGCATTGCTTTAGCACTTTATATACACCGATTGTTTCTTGAACTGATGCGAGAAGATGATAACAATATTATTCTACGTAAACATCGTGAAGTTCAACGCTATAGTTTCCAAAATATATCCACGCAAGTAAACAAATTTCAAGTTTCAACCCAAACAATACATTCCAATGCATGTGCAAGGGCTTTTCCCAGTAGCTAATCTCTCAATATATAAGGCGGCTTCCAATTGGCTCTAATGTTTTTGAACACTGCCAGATGATTGGCTCGGCTAAAACAAAGGGAATTGAATATGCAGCTCGGGTAAGCAGACGGTAGTATTTCGTCGCTTGGCGTAAGAACTACAACGTCTGTGAGCAGGCTATTGATTGACAACTACATAAAAATACTAACCAATCAGTTTTTCCGTTCACCAGCGGATGGGTAATTCAAAAAACCCTAGTTTTGCGACAGACGGTATTTCGTTTGACTCCCTAGTTTTCGCTGCCTGTAGAAATACCGCCTGCCACGCAGGCTACCTGCAAAATGGTTTCCGACTTCCGAGAACTTCCGAATGCATTTCTATGCAAACGTGTCGGTGTGATTATTAGTCATGCTGTTGACTCGTCGAACCATGAGCCAAAACGTTACTGTATTTGTATCATAAAGACTTTACAATTATATCAAAAGTACTCTACAACACAAGATCACTTCACTTGATCTGCTATGTGACAATGGACTCATTTAAGATAAGCTTTGTCTTTGGTGAGTAATGAGTATACTGTATACAGTTTATACTTCGTAATCCCATTCTTCTGTTCCGGGTAATTTGTAATATTGAAAAATGACGAATACCTGTATTCCTTCCAACAGTATTCCTGTATAGAATACCAGTATTCTTTCCCGAACTATTAACGTAAATAGATTTATCTAGTTGGCAATGTTAAAGAATGAGGCGAATTTCATTGACATTATAAATGCAAAATCAAAAGACAGTTAATTAAAGCAGGCAAAGCTATCATGGTTGAATGCATATATGTTGTACGGCTGTGATTATTAATCAGCACACAGTCACAGATGCGTATACTCAGGTCACACATGCAGTGATATCAGCAACATGCAATATTCATGTAATTTTTGCTTTAAGGCTTAAATTACAAGAAGGCAGCCGCATGTTTGTGTTGGTAAGGCTGTTCACATTGCCAATTTTAGTTTGCGAATTTCTCCTTTTGCTGGCGCACGCGTTTGAGTATAAATCAGTACATGAAATCTGAATGCAAGGGAGAATATAACGTGCTCAGCAATCTCGCATGTATTCGTTTGTGGGTGCACAGAACATGCCGCCATGCATGTGGATGAATAGTCAACACAATACAGGAAGTGGTATCAGCATATACTGTGAGCTATGCTTCTCAAATGAGTTCCAATTATTTTTTTAATTTCTCTCTGCAGATAGGGCTATTTATGATCAACCATTCGACATTCCTTCATTCAATGTTCCATCAAGAAAAAATGAAAACTGGAATTGGAAAGGTAAGCGAGTTAAGAGACCTAACAAATCAGTTAAATAAAACACGAAAACCTAATACACGAGCGAAAGAATTCAGTGTTATATTGCAACCAGATAATTATCATGTTTACAATTTTCGTCACAAATATTATACAACCTTATCTACTGAACTGGCTACACGTCTCGACATTACATAATTTTAAATAAGGTTAAAGGCATGCAGTGTTGAATCATAGACAATCCAGAAGACATCCGTTTAGGCGTTTCCAGTCCCTGTCTTCTGGATTGTCTATGTTTACACTCAAAAAACATTGTTGCAAATTGTTGCATGTATTCAACCATAGACAATCCATGTCTTCTGGATTGTCTATAGTGTAATAAACAGCGTAACTGCTTTGGGATAACCGATATAATTAAAAGGAAAGATTTGTAAAAGGCATCTTGGCCAACTATTCATATATGTTCACATGAACTATTGTACATACGAAAATGTTTTGCGTATTTCCGCGAAGAACCGGAAATACCAATCTAACAGGAAGTTGATAGTCTCGTTAAATTAAAATAGAATAAATTTTCCATGTCTGTAGAGGCTTATGTAACCGGAGAAGAAGTTGGTAAAGTTATGTATATAAATCCGAGATTGTATTTGCCAAGGATTTTTATCTACTTTAGCGTTCTTGCACTAAAATGTGCGATTCTATTTCTGGAAAAGGGTGTTTTTTTCAGGGATGAACCGACGCGCCACTTTGCTGGAAAAGTATCTTTTTGCAGGCCTGTCAAGATTGCTCGTTAAAAATGAGTGCGGGTCTTCACTTTTGTTTAAACGTGAAAGCGTTTTTCCGGAGTGTAAAATACTGAAATATGTGTCAGTTGAAAAACGAGGCGCTACTGTATAACCAAGTTTTTTCGTATAATTTCTGACCTTTTATAGGCCGGTATTATAAACAGCCTTCGAGTTTCTATTCTCGAACGGAGTGTGTCTAAATGTATTTAAAGTTAAATTCTGAACCATATTAAGGTTATAATTATTTATAAGCGTTTATTCTCCTGGTATCAAGAGAATGATACGGTCCTGGGTTCCTTTTTGTTTTACTTATGAATTGACTTAGTTGTGCCACATTTTCACATCAGATAGCGAGTTAAACACGATAAGCCACTGATGATCAAATACATTTCGAGTCAGATTTTGAAAATCACCGAAAACTATTTGGTGTTTGTTATAACCCGACTAATCATAGTTCTAAGAAAATAAATAATCTTTCTTGAAATAATTTAATGAGGTTGAATAGAATTAAGCAACAAATGACTGGACTTTGTCGATCGGAACATCTCAAACCAGAAACATGTCATGGGGTAACATCACATGTTATGTTTGGTAACATTAATAATTGTTATAATTATTAAATATCATTCGGCGAACCACGGGTATTTGAGTTTATAAACTACATTTAATATCAACAATGTGAACAGTAAAACCATGCGGTAAAACAGTATATGAAAAAATGTCGTGACCTAAAAGTACAAAGTACTTTGTCATACGATATGACGTCACAGGCAGTTCTTGGTTTTCGCATACATTAACTATATTATTGACAATCAATAATATCTATTAAAATTCCTATAACCGTGCAACGAGAAATTGCAAAAATTTGTCGCTTTTATTGTTTCACCTTTATTTATAGCAAAGTTCGGATTTAGATTTTCAGCATTTTCTAGCTTTTAACTCAATTGAAAGTTATCCTTTCGAACTCAATGCGTGCATAGCCTGTCAATTAGACATGATGGCCCGGCACCCCGGCGAACTTCAAAGCTACAAAATAGAAGCCTTTGCTTGATTTTGATACGTCAATCACCGTGACCGTGCACAAATTATTAACATTAAGTAACTCAGAAAAAAGATAACACAATGACCTGTTTAATGGTGCGTTCATACACTGTTTAATTTGTAATGTTTAACAAACTTCTAATTATGTTTGTGATGTTACTCTGAGTGTGCATCCACACCGGACAAGCTGAAAAGTTAGCTTGACCACGGTGGGAATCGAACCCGCGACCTTTGGGATACTAGTCCAATGCTCTTCCAACTGAGCTACGTTGTCAAGTGGGTTCGAGTTGATGATATTTCGGAACTGAGGCCCGGTTTAGACGGCGAACTTTTCATGCGCCGAATCTAATGCAAGGATTAAGTGCGACGCTGGAGCGGCGTCTAAATCAATTAAGTTTGGCAGATTTTGATTAAGTTCGACACGACTCGAAGATGGGACAAGACAAGTCGTATATGCGACACAGGATCGACATTGATTTAGACGCCGTGCTTTTCATGCGCCGAACCTAATGCATACTTATATTTTTTAACATAATGTGATTATCATATATTTGCATTGTAAATATGTCCAATATAGTGTCCTCGCAATTTGGTACGGCACAATTAAGTTCGACGTCTAAATCAGTTTCCAATATTTTGCCGTATCTACGGCAATTAGATTCGGCGCATGAAAAGTTCGCCGTCTAAACCGGGCCTGAGTCTAGTTCCTTCGATATCAGTGTATTCCATGATATGATTATTTAGACTAGACTCAGTTCCGAAATATCATCAACTCGAACCGACTTGACCACTAGCTCAGTAGGCAGAGCATTGGACTAGTATCCCAAAGGTCGCGATTTCGATTCCCAGCGTGGCCAAGCTAACTTTTCAGCTTGGCCGGTGTGGATGCACACTCAGAGTAACATCACAAACATCATATTCACCTGACTACATAACACCAACACACAAAAAAATAAACTTCTAATCATTATTTTCATTATTTTCGATTTTCCTGGTCATGTTTCCAAAGGAAACGAGCAAAATTTTGAAGAAATTTGTTTTGAGCTACTGAATGCAATAGTAGCCTGAACCAAGCCGATGGATTTTGAACAACGTTAAATAAAGGTTTATTTAATTTAAAGCCCTTCAGGCTAACTCGTTTTCTGTTTTGCGATCTGTTCGTCTGGTTAGAGAGTCTCGTCCGATGAGCCAACAAACCGTTGGCGAACATCTGCCCAAAATCAATTGCTTAACTCTGTACCATATGGAATTTTGTGACGAACAGTTCAAGTATTATACTATACCATTATAACTAATATAATTTCCGAACGCCTACTCTGGAAGCGAATCAAAGTCGATTCCAGTGATAAACCTTAATTGGATCACCACCGAAATAAAAACTCTAATTTCTAACGGCAGGCGGCATGGGCTGTTGGCAACGACTGATGTTGGCAACGACTTACACTCTTTGTAAGAAAGCGAAAGAATATTACAGCATAATATTTTGACTCAGCAGCCTGATCCTCGAAAATGGTGGTAAGCGGTGAAGAGTATCGCTATCTCATAATGTTTGAAGGTAAATCTTACTCAGATGCGGACCTGGCAAATCTCCACAATGATAAGTTTGTCGCTGTGGGATCCTCTTTACCATATTTAGATTGGCTCCCGCTTCCCGTTGACGGCATTCCTGCTGAATTCAACATTTCTGTCGAGAACACCGAAAACGCGCTGCTGTCATCTAAACTTCATTCGTCCTCGGGCCCAGACGAAATTTCCGCTTGGCTTCCGCCGAACTTTGAGCTCTATTTTTTACGCATCAGTTCGCGAAGGATTTGTTCCTTCATTGTGGAGGTCAGCAAATATTACACCAATTCAGAAATGTTCGCCTCCAATACATGTTGATTCCGACTTTAGACCGATCTCTCTCACACCGATCATTAGTAAGATCCTCGAATCATTTCCCTTCAAATGGCTTCTTAACTCCGTTTTTGAAAAAGTTGACTCCTTGCGATTTTGTTCCTTAAAGGTTCAAGCACTAACAAGGCACTTGTCTGTCTGCTACACAAGTGGTATGAAGCGGTTGACAAACTCCGGTAATGCTATACGGATCTGCTTACTCGACTTTTCCAAAGCCTTCGACCAATTAGATCATAATAATCTGCTGAACAAGTTGAAATGCATGGAGGTTCATCCTGTATTGCTCAACTGGATTGCGAATTGCCAAACAGATAGACAACAGAGAACCCGTGTTGATCACTTGCGGGATCCGACAGGGAACTAAGCTCCTATTTCTGATCATCATTAATGACTTCGCAGTGTCTGATGAAACCGTTTAATTTGTTGTTGACACAACTCTTCGGGAATCTCCCATTTACCAGCTACTTCTCTAGTTGCTCAGAACGGTCACTGGTCAACAACATGAGTAAAATGTATGAAAGACCAAACAATAGCGTGTCTGCTTTTCGAACCTGACCCCATCTTACGCTCCCATTACTATCCATGATCAAGATGTCGACGTAGTTTCTGAAGCAAACGGTGATATAATTCAGACGATCTCAAGTGGAATGGCCACAAAGCTGCGAAATGTTTGTATCGTTTGAGCCTCCTTATCAGAGTAATGCTACCTGTTGACGTCTTGATATCAGTTTACTGTACCCATATTAGATCTATTGTTGAATATGCTTGTCAGGTGTAATACCACAGCCTTCCCCAGTACCTCACTCAAAATTATCTTTCCAGGTGTTGACTATGCCGAATTAACGACTCTTTACGAACGTATTGTAGAACTGTACTTTGCAATCGGTTTTTTTTTCAAATATGATGTTATTCACCCACAAACTGAATATCTTTGTCCCTTCAAAACATCTCCAAACATACGATTTGATGACTCACCCCAAGCTGCTAGTGTTTAGGTGTAGAACTGAACGTTTTTCAAACAGTTTCGCCTCTGCAGCTGCCCGTGTTCATAATAACAATCAAACTCTCTGTTGTTATGGTACTTTTTATCTCATTACATAATATTTTTACTTGTAAATATAGCATATACCAAATATTTTATTCTCATACTATGTAAATCCAAAGAAATTCAGTTGTAACTGCAATTTTGGAAATTAATGATTCTTATTAAATCACATATAATTAATTTATATCGTTTCCAAGCAAGACAAAGAAGTCTGCCATGAAAATTTACGTGTAAATCGGTGGTTCACTTGAAAAGACCGCAAAATTTTAAAAGCCAAATTAAAATGACTTGTAGTATAGATTTGCATCTTTAATAAAATCAGGAACCGCCCATGCATATTCAAAAATCAGGAACCGTTCATATTACTACCTGTACATTCTCTTCAACTAGCAGCCAGTCTTGTTTTTTCTGTCGTCTGTTTTTTAAATTTGAATGTATAATAAAGCAATTATTGAATTCAGCTTAGGCATGATATATTTAACAATTATTCACGGAAGTTGAGGTGAATAGTGCAAATCTCGTACCCAGACGATTAAGGGAAAATTACGCTGAGTTAAACCGCTTAAACGCGCAAGAGTGACTAGAACAAGTCCTATATTTAACGTCATTCGGGGTGGAAGCAGGCTCGTAACTTGCCCGATGGGAGGAAAAAATTTTCAGGCATATCATTTTTCACTCACTTTCGAACTAAGGTACCATCAACCTCGCAAGCCAGGCTCTCTACTTCCGCTTCCCTCCCAACAAGTCTCTTCTGGAGCGTGTATTATTTACATATTTTTTGCCCGACGAACGTGTCGTTAAAATTGTTAATATTGCCCGAAAAAATGCCTCTTGTTAAAATTGTTAATCGGAAATTGCCTCTTGTTAAAATTGTTAAAATTCCCCCTCCCCAGTAGTTACGGCCCTGCATAGGTGGATCATTATACGTTGACACGTCACCCACGTTACTATAACCGAAAAGATTTAACTCTTGCAACATTTCTACAATTTTGTCTCAAAAAAGAAACATGTACACGTGCATGGAAAATATTGACATAGCAGCAAATCGCAAAACTGTCAATCCCACCCGTTAATGGCTTTGCTGGTCTTCATTATCATAGTCAAATTACATGCTTTGTTACAAATAATCTAACCAAGCCATTATTTACTTAAACTAACAGCTTTATTAGGAACTGGTTACTTTACAATACACACATGAGTAACAACCGACAGTTCCCAAGCGGGAAAGTAGCGCAAGAACCCATGCATTTTAATTTAAATAATTAATTTAATAAACAATCTACAAAATAGACAATCCTAAAATCTATATTCGTCATAACCACATATTTATGAGTACATTTGTATTTTTAGATCATTTTGATAAAGGTTTAAGAGACGTTAAAGAAAATAATCTAAACCTTGCTGAACAATCACTCAGTCGAGCTTTAAAGATTTTGTCCGCGTTGCCAAATTCCTCAAAATTCAATGGAGAGAAAGCGACATGTTTTCATACCATGGCCGAGATATATTTAAGCCGAGCCTCTCAACAGCTAGATGACGACGGATTTTGTGATATGATGGTTAAAGGCATCGCTCTGTTCGAGGCTGAGCGAATCTACAAGTACGGCAGTTACAAAGAAGACAACGAAATCAACACGGCCATCTTAGAAGCAGAGGTAAAGTTTGTTCATAGAGTATTCGGTCCTAGTGGCGTTGAACGCTTTAAGGAAATGAGCGATAGAAGAATACTGAATCGCAAGAAATTGGATGAAGTTCGTTCAAAGGTCACTAACGAATATTTCCCCACCCTTGCCAAATTTCCAGACTGGAACTCAGAAGACGAAGAAAGAAGATGCCACGAAATAGAAAGTATGTATAAAAAAATTTACGAAGACATGAAATGCTTCCTGGTTGACATTTTGTTTCATTGTAGTCAAATTGCAGGTCCAGCACCCTGCAACTTCTCCATCATTGGTCTAGGATCTACATCTAGAAAAGAAGTCACTCCCTACTCTGATTTAGAGTTCTCAATTCTGGTTGATAACAACAGCAAAAACCCTTCACCAGAAAAACGGCAGTACTTCCGATTCCTGACTTATTTTATTCAAATGCAAATTATCAAATTAGGGGAAACCATTTTACCGAGTGTTGGCATTTCTAGTTTAAATGATTTCTACAGCAAAAATAAAGAAGATGATTGGTTTTACGATGATGTTATTCCAAAGGGATTTTCGTTCGACGGTATGATGCCATGGGCGTGCAAGACACCTCTTGGAAGAAAAGAATGGCGTGGACAACCTGCACAAGAGTACATCATGACAGTTGATGAAATGTTGAAGCTTCAAGACGTCATTCCTGACTCTTCTATGGACAGTCTGAAAACTGCAAATGTTTTCAGGAGCGTGTGTCACCTTTTTGGCGACGAAAAACTTACGATGACATACCAGCAGAAATTGTCAGCCCGCCTCACTCATATTGACAGCATGAGAAGTTTCCGAGAACAAGTATTGCAGATCATGGAAAGTTTGTTGAAGACCTATGGCAAGGAAGGAATGGCTACGCAACATTTTGGAACACAGCAAGACGTGAAAAAAGAGGTCTATAGATTGACAAGTCTTCTGGTTGAACAATTATCAAAATTTTTTTTAATTTTCGGGCAAAGTTCGTGGCAATGTGTACATGAAATGAGGATGAAGAAGATACTCACTGAAGATGGGGCTAAAAATCTACTTGCAGCATTGAGTATCACAACTGAACTTCGATTAAAGTGTTACCAGAAACAAGGTAGGCAAAAGGAGGCATTACCCACAGTTCCACAACTGTCAGTAACAGAAGACAAAAATATTCCATGTCCCCTCTCAACAGCTATCGTTCGTCTTTATCAAAGTCTTATACCGTTGAAATCGGTCGTGTTTCAAATCCTAGAAATTTACAAGAACCATTGTCTGACCAAACCAGAAAGGTCGGTTGTTTCAGTGCTTCAGGAAGCGAATTTCATGGATGTTTCGCCAATGACAACAGCCACAGCGTACCTACGTGTCTTACAGCTTCCTAAAGCGTTCGATTGTTTACTTTCCGCCAAAGGTGGCATAATGGATAATGCCAGTAGGGTGAATATACTTCTCGTGCTCGCCAATTGTTACCAAATGGTCGGGAAGTTTCACGAAGCTATAGAGTGTTGCCGTGAGGTGGAAACCTTGTGCACAGGGGCACCGGATGTTCTTGAAACAAGCAGTTTATTAAATGCGTTAAAGACGACTATGGATATCTATATGAATCAGGGTCTCTTCCAAAAAGCTGTGCAAATGTACAAACAAATCGTGGATTTTCAAGAGAGGCAGGATTTGAACGAGAGTTTCGTTAAGAATGAGTTGGATTTTCTTAACAGCAGCGCTGTTCTTTTCATGAATATGAAGCAGTACAATAAAGCTGAAGCCATACTTAGAAGTATCATTGAAATGTTACGGAACCAACGGAAGCATTATTTCAGTTACTTTATGTGCTTAAACAACCTTGCTGTCATTTTACTTAACGCGGACAAGCTTACAGAAGCAAAAACTATCTTGAACGATGCTTTAGAGATCGCCAGTGAACTTTATGGGGAAAACGCTGTCCATCCCTATTTTGCTCGCTGTTTAACCAACCTTGGCGAGGTTCATTACTATCTTCAGAATATTGAAGAAGCAGACCGTTTGCTGCAATTGGCGCTGATAATTTATTCTCATGTCCATGACCAGGAGTTGATCGAGCCGGGTATTATCGAGGCACTAATTATCAAAGCGCAAATATCCAGGGGTCATGAGAAGTGGAACGAGATGTTCAATTCTTTGAACAAAGCGAACGAAATTTCTAAGATTCTGTACAAAGGCTACCCACACCCAACTGCCGCGTCTGTACTTTTTTATCTTGGCATTTGTGAGCAAGAACGTGGAAAGTTTTCGGAAGCCTTAAGCCATTACCAAGAATATTTGAAAATTTACGAAAATGAAAGAATGGAATGTCAGCAAAGTGGTCACAGTTGCAACACTGCCAATGTTCTTATACGTATTGCAAACGTGGGAAAACATTGTTCTTATGATGTTTCGTATCGTCTGTCATGCATCGAAAAAGCTCTGGAAATAGAAGAAAAATGCCACGGCAAGGAATCTAATCACCGCCATTTGGCCATATGTTTTGGAACTCTCGGGTATTTATTGATAAAAGAAAACCGTGAATCAAAAGGGTTGGAATATCTCAGCAAAGCCATGCAAATGCTCGAAGAGATTAACTTGGATGACGATAAAGTCTATGGCCATGCACACCTAACAATTGGAGAACTTTTAGGGGAACAGTCTCCCAATAAAGCTGAAAAGCACTTGAGAACTGCAGAAGCTGTTTTAAAGAAGACTTTCAAGGATAGTAGTCACGTCGTGCTACTTCAGATCAATTCTTCGCTGTTAAAGATTTTCCTACAAAGAAACAGAATCGAGGACGGCCTCGAACTTGCAAAACAACAGCGACGCCTGATCGACACAATGTTGTCTAAATCCAGTGTTCCTAACGCTGGACAGCTCTGCCAAGTTGTGTATCTTGCCGAGTTTTATGAAGCCAGTGGACGACGAAATACTGCAAAGGAGATGTATATTGACGTAATCGCGCGCCTGGAGGAACAGGTCGATCCGACTGATTCAGAGAAAGATTATTTGTTGCTCCTGCTGTGGAAGATCCAACAGCGAGTAGTAGAAATTTTCCGAACTGATGGAATGTTCTGTGATGCAGAAGCCATGTTACAGCGCATTGCTTCGTCAGTTAAAAAGACAACTTCGCAGCGACAATTTGCGGAAAAAGCTCATCATGACACTCTATGGAATCTTGCAGCGGTTTTTACGCAAACGGGAAGATACTCACAAGCATATGAACTGCTTGACAGTCTTATCAACATCTATGAGAAAGACCCCAAATCCATTGATACCCATACAGCTTCATGTGCTTTTCTCGTACGTGGCGAACTCAATCGCCGATGCTTTCGTTTCAGCCTTGCATTGCAAGACCTGGAAAAAGCTTTGAAAATGGCCGAAACCTTTCGAGGAACGGCGATTCGTAATGATTTATTGGCACAAGACTGTGAAACTTATTATGCCAAAATCATGAACACTATTGGGTTAATTTATGAGCAAAGCAGCAACCTGGAACTTGCCCTTGAATACTATCTTTGCTGCATAAATACTGTCGCAGGAATACCACCGAACATGGATACAGGAATTTTTCACCAAAATCTGGCGGACACACTGAAAAAGTTAGGAAGACTGGACGACGCCATAGTGCATTACAAGAAATCTTTGGAAATCAGGGAAATGCTGCATTCAGAAGATCCGGTAAGAGAAGATATTGCCACCGTGCTTTACCATATTGCTCTCGTCCAGTACACTGATAAAAGACCCAAGGACGCTTCTGAAACTTTGGATAAACTCATACCCTTAAGAAGAGAACTTCTTGAAAAAGGTGGTTCTTTGCAGAATTACTGTGCCGTGTTGGTTCTAAAAGGTAATTGCCATATATTTGAACCAGGTGAAGCGCAACAAGCAAAGGACGCCTACGAAGAGGCAGGGAAAGCTTTTAAAATAATGACGGAAGGGCAGCCAAACCTGGATTATGCTGGCGCATTAAGCAATTTGGGTGAGTAGAATATACTTGATTTTCATATATATCTTAAACTTCTTTATATAGTAAATGTACCGATATCAAAGTCAAGAATTTCATGGAACATCTGAGTCATTTAAATATTTAAGTAATGCCATGGGCGTACCGGAAGGAAAAAATTAGGGGGGGGCGGAAAGAAATTTGCCCGACTTTTCGGGATTGTGCCAGACTAGTACCTAAAATTTTTTTCCGGAAAAATTATTTCGGCGACCTCCCCCCCCCCCGTCGCCAAAATTTTTTCGGTCAGTGTACCATTTTAGGGGTCAAGTCAAAAAAATTTTCCGGACATATTAAAATTTTTCGGAACATCACACAAATTAAAAAAAAAAAATTGACTGAATTTTCCACTAAATTGACAGAATTTGTCCCCATTTATTTTTATTACAAACCAAAATTGCCCGACTGTTGATCGAATATTGCCCGACTGCCCAAAAACTGGGGGGCTACCCCCCCCCCCCCGCCCGCTCCCCAGCCCCCCGCCCGGTACGCCTATGAGTAATGCAATGTGTCTCTTCAGGACAAAAACTTAATCAACAACAGCAGTGATTATTTTAAAGTAATTGATGACTGCGCAAAGTGCAAAAAGGGACGACATTTATGCGGGCATTATAAATAGGATTAAAATACTCATTAATAATTCATAAACCTTGTGGCAAATCATGTGAGCCATAATATGTCACGTGGAGTGACTTTATATTTAATAAAACTCATGTGGCATTATATAATTGTTCATCCTAATTAGCATGATTATATAATGGTTCATCCTAATTAGTACTCTTTTGTAGTTGTATTTTAAGTTATTCAAAACACTCGTTGTCGTGTTTTATCAGATATAAAACGCTCGGCTGCGCCTCGCGTTTTATATCTGATAAAACATTCCTACTCGTGTTTTAAATAGTACATAAAATACTGAGTAGGTTTGGGAGATTGCTAAAATTAATCCGTAATACAGCGCTTTTTACCAGACTTAGTTTGCCACCTTTGGAAATAAAATGCTTTTCAAATTTTGGAATATTTTGGTTAGCAAATTTAGTATATGTTAGTCATGTTCAGTTTAGTCTGCAAACTTCCAACAAGGTAATATATTATAAAATATTTTAACCATTTAATTCCTTTGTTAATGTGAGTTGAATTATTTACCAAGACTTGATAATTAACCTATATCTTTTTCATGTCCTAATAAATTTGAATCCTTAGGGCCTGTTCATATGGGCAAAAGTTATCCCGGTTAACGAGAAAACTTTTCGACAAGTTTACAAGCGAGATCTCGCCTATTGAAAAGTTACACTGCGGTCATATGAGAGGAAAAGCTTTCCCTTGTACCGAGATCTCGCTTGTTGACAGGGGAGATCTCGGTGCCTGGGATAATGTTTTTCCCCATATGAACACAACTTTCCCGCTTAGCGGGATAACTTTATGTCGTGTCAGCAACTTTTGAATTCAGTTGATCTTCAGTGCTACGTCACAGTCCAAAACTTTACCCGGTAAGCGGGACAAATTTTCTCCGTATGAACAAAACAAAAGTATTTGGCTGGTCGAAAAGTTTTCTCGTTAACCGGGATGATTTTGCCCATATAAACAAGCCCTAAATGAGAATAATTTCGATACTTACGACAGACCGTTCCAGAAAGTACTTATGTAGTAGAGCCTCGTTTTTGCGATTGGAATGCTTGGGTTTAAAGTAATGTCACGTGCACGAAAATGAAGCTTTATAGCCAAAATGACGTACTTTCAGGAAGGGTGTATTGCTTATTTGGTCATTTTGTACCGCAGTGATACTGGTACAGTACCTGTCGCGAGTAAGGGTACCTCCACTCGCGCGTAGCGAGTACGCGCGAGTCAAAGCGCGAGTCAAAGCGTTAATATTACAGCTAAAAGCCTGTGAGTGATCTGTATTTATAGCATAAAAATATTCATCTTCATAATTAATATTTATTATAATTAATAAATAATAACGGCTTATTGACCGAGCGTGAGGTCTGTACTGTGAATTATCAGACAGAAGTCTGATATTTCACAGTACATGCAGACCAAACAAGCGAGGTCAATAATCGGTTTATTATATGGCTGAACTGAGTCTGTGAGCATGTGCTTTTCGCGCGAATTAAATCGGCTATCATCAGTTTCACTGCGTAACAATATACGGTATAGGCATGCATGCTCAATCAAAAACAATTTGGTTGTTTGAAATTTTTATCTGTAAATTACAATTGGAAATTTAAAAAGCAAAATTTTCTTCTGTTTGCAAAGCAAAAATTTCCCGCCAGATAAACGACATCTGGGACACCGGTCCAGATACGGAAAATACGTACAACGTTCCGGATATGGTTTTTTACGGAGCACTTGTCAACCAATCACAATAGAGAATTTTGAAAAGCCATATAATAATTAATATTATTTTTGTTTGCTAAACTTTATTGAGTACAATAATGAGTTCAACAAATATTCATCTAATCATGCAATTAAAAAAGTGCTGTACTCAAACGGACAAGGCACGAACTGGACGTGGAGTCCTTTTAATTAAAGTCACGGTATACTGTACAGAGTGTCCCAAAAAAACAGTTTCTTGCCTAAAGTATGTTGTAATGTTTTTGCATGTTCACGTATCAGATATATTTTTTATAATTATTAGGGTCCAACTTTATGGCACCACACCTGATACAGTTGGGTGTACTAAAAATAATTTAATTATACTTTTCTTGATTCTTTCTGTGTAGGATATGCTTGTTTTATCTTAAATCAGTGGGAACAAGCAATCCCGAAACTGCAACAAGCACTTGAAATGAAGAGAGTTATTTATGAAGAAAAAGCTAAGCCAGAGCCAGAGGTGGCCTTAGCCTGCCGCTTGCTCGCCAGAGCGCTGTTTAAACATCAAGAATACGAGAAAGCACTGCCTTACTTCCAAGAAGCGTTGGAATATTTTGTGGTTAACCAGTCAGCAGATGATGAAACACAATGTGTTCTTCACATTGCTCTATGTTACGGAGGTTTGAAGAATCTTGTTAATGCACTGGAAACGTTTAGAAAAGTCGAAGAATTGTGTGTCAGAAAGTCAGTTAGCGACAGCATACGGCTGGATATTCACAAAACATTGGCAGACACTTTCACCGAGGAAGAATATGGAGAAAGACCTAAGGTATTGTATCACCTTAAAGAAGCCGAAGCTATCTTCAAGCGAATAAAGCGATCCGAAACGCAGGAAGAGGAACTAATTGAAGTGCAAGCAAAGATCTTGAGCCTGGAATTTTAATGAACCACTATACGTTCCTATAGACGTTATTTTGGCAACGAAATCACCTTGGCAATTATATGTAGAAATAATTAACACGGACACAACAGTCAATAGTTGTTTTAGGTTTTATCTTACCTGAAAGTATAATCGCGATGTTAATATTAAATTCAAGTGGGTATATAGGACCAGTCGATTTGAAAATTACAGACTTGGACGTAACTGTTGAGATACTCCTACAAAAATTGTAAATTTACTGTTAATAAACAATCTCGAAATAACGTTTTCAAATTGCAATATTGAAAACGTTCAATATTGCAATTCAAACGTTCAAAGCTCAATATTGAATTGGGGGTTTAAAGAGAACATCAATACGATTTTACAGAGAAGTCATCATCACCATCAATCACCGTCAACTGGCTAGTCGGCCGATGAAAAATAAATTCGGAAATCCTTGCGTGTGCGGTACCATTCTTAGAAATTTATTCGGACGATTTGATCGGCCAAGATCAAATCGTTTTGAGCTTCCTCGATTTTTATCAGCCGGTTTGGTCCTATCGCAACTAACCAGAATTCCTGCCGTGATCACATGGTTTATAATATTTCTTTATATGCTTTATTTTCGCTCAATTCATTACCTAACATCTTAGGCCCGGTTTAATCGGCAAACGTTTCGTGCACCGAATCTAATACAGCGATTAACGGTAGCTACGACCGAAAAGTCGCATCTAAGTCAATTAAATTCGGCATGTTTTCGTTAGGTTCGACACGGTACAAAATACGGCAAGTCATGTCGTACTGTGCGATACAAGTTCGCCATGAATTTAGCTCTGTGCTTTTCATGCGCCGAACCTGGTAATGCATAATTGTTTTGAACCTATATATACATTATCATATGATTATGATATATTAGCAATTTAACACTATAAAATTTCTGATATAGTGCTTTGGCGCTGCTCAATTAATTAAGTTCGACGTCTAAATCAGTTACTGAACTTGTTCCGTATTTAATTTGATTAAGTTCGGGCCTTTCGTACGTGTGTCGGTATGGCGTTTACCGAGTTTACATCGCCTGCAGGCTGCAGGTAAACCAACATGTCAGGCGACTAAAACCGCACCTGGGCGCCATGCTTTTGACTGGTAAGTTCCCAATTCAAAAGTCTTGAGCTTATGAGATAGCTATTTCTGAATACTATAATGTGATTAGATTAGTACACTTATATAATCCGTTATATTGCATGAGTAAGAAAATTATACGATTATATTTCTTTCAATAATAAAAAATAATGTCTATAGCTATAGTCTATGTAGCCTGCTCGCAGGCCGTTGTCAGGCAGAGGCTGCATGGGAGGTACGGCCTGCGACCTTTATTAGTAAAAAGTCGATTTATGCGTACGGAGCGTACGCAAAATTCCCATTGGTCAGAAGTGCCCCATGAGTTAATATCGTGCAAATATTTAACTCGTACGACATTTCGCAATGTAATTTTAAAGCTGGCATTCAATCAGTGGCGTATAAAACCATGACTTTGTTTATCTCTTCGAAGAAGTAACTGAATGTATTTGAGAAACCTTTCAATTTAAATTAACGTTGAAGGATGAGCGAAGGTTAGCAATATTAACTGTACTTCCAACGGGATTTGATAAAAGTTTACATGTAATATACCGATACTTTGTCTTCGTCAGCTACAATAATAAACCTTTTCCAAAGAAGTACAAGGGAAAACTTCGACGTATGCCTTGCTGATCTTTGCAGAGAGAGTAAAATAAGTCTAGTTCAGGCTGACAATTTATCATCTAACCGCGTTTGCATCACTTGCGGTTTCAAACGTTGAACAACTTAAGGTTAGCCCAGCGAGACGTTCGTTGAGACACAGGCAGTGAATCAGCTAGTATAAAGCAGTTGATTGTCAAATGCCTCCGAGCATTTCTCCCAAATACTTCCCTGTCAACCCAAGGCTTTCTGCCTAAACAATCTGGTCTTGAATAAGTCAAGACAATGGGCAAATTATTAAAACAGACGCCGTCGAGGAAAGTCGTTCTTAGAACACCTGGCCAATTTGAATTTACACCTGGAAATTTTGCAATAGTCGTTTGCGTGTTTTTTGACCGAAGTCCGCTCTCTCTTTGAGACTTTATTTTTGGGAGTCTCAACTAGTGACATATATTATTACAACAAGAGCTTTTTACAAAAAAAATGTAGTTATTAAACACGGCAGAATCTATGCCACGGCCACGGGTTTTCAAATTGTCTATTGTCTATTGAGTTAATTGTATTATTGAGCAAATGACAGACTTCACGCAATAATGATTAATGTTGTTTTTTAGCCTGCTATTGTTCGAACACTTTTAATAAATAGTGTTTGTTACTTTGTTCAAAACCTAAATACGTTTCCTTAAATCTTACAGTTATATTTTGGATATAAATATATAAAATACATTAACTAATAGAGTAAAATTTTACGTCTCTGTAGTATAGTTACATAATTTAAAACGGCAATGTACGAACAAGACAGCAATATACAAACGGGACTATGTTTTAAATATTAGAACACTTTAGGGGAAAAACGACCATGAATTATTTTAGATTAAAGTTTAGACCTTGGAATCCTAGTGAAAGACACAGGCGTAAAATTGCGCGAGAAACTGTTTGTTGTTGTTAATAACCTCTGGTAATCTAATTAACAAAACTTGCTTTGATTGGCTACTATTTACCGGATATTCAATTATCTCAAAGGGGGCGTATTGAAAAAATATCAATAAAAGTCGCAGGCTCTATATAATAGAGCCTGTGAGCAGGCTATAGTCTATGTTATGCTAGTTTTCAGTTGAGTCAAAGACGCGTTTTAAAAACTTCATGTATTTGAGCTGCAGTCTTTACTATTAAACTTTACGACTATATAGTAATAAATATGCCAAAAAAGCTTGCTAAATCATTGTCTGAAATTAAGTTGTGCAGCATTAAACACCCAACACATTTTTCACCCATTAACTCAAAATGTGATTAATTTTAGGCTTTTACTGAATCTCGTGCGCAAGCCATTTTCAGTTTGTTGGAAAAGACACACAATTCTGGTTCACAAAACTTGAGTTCGAGAAATTTTTGTCATTATTTTACATTATAAGTACCCAAAGAATCTATACATATCAAAAACTGGATACTAATATATATTTTGCGAAATTGAGAGGAATTTCAATTCTGTTCAGTTTTTTTTTTATATATGGGAAATGCAAACTTTCGGCCCAAATGTGGTCTTTTTTCTTGGGCGTAATACAAATTACGGAAAATTTGCAAATCTCACAGGGCTATATTTTCCGCATTCTACAACATTTCGCGGCCAAACTTTGCAATTCCACTAATTTTAGGATGCTCGTTCTAGCTGCGGCACCATCTTGCTCCTTCTTTCCTAGATCAAAATATAGTCTATAGCTGGAATCATCTATTTACCGGCCCAATAATTAATGACCGCTACCTAATGACCTAGCTTGAGAATCCAGTCCAGCCAGTCCAGTCCGCGTTTTACAACATGCCTGATTGGCATTCACAAAGACGATATACTGTATACATTGATAGATTTGAAAATGTTGCTGAAATTGTACAGCACTTGCAGTGCATGCACGTGTAGCTATAACTGCATGCAATTGGTTGAAACTAAATAGTATTCATTCTAAAAATACAAGCGATTCTTTTTTACATGTTTTGACAGATTGGAAACAGATCATGTTCGACAGAAATCAAACAGCAGGCTCTCCCCGGAAATTGATAACAAACAATGAAAATGAAATTCTGTTTTCCGATTTCGTAGAAAAACGGTTATATATACACGCATTCTGAGTATCATCAGATGCACAATTCAGTAGATAACCCACGTGATCAGCAATGTGTTTCCAAACTCCGAGAACTTCCAAATGTATTTCTATGCAAACGGCGTGTCGGTGTGATTATTAGTCATGCTGTTGACTCGTCGAACCATAAGCCAAAACGTTACTGTATTTGTATCATAAAGAGTTTACAATTATATCAATAGTACTCCACAACACAAGGTCATTTTACTTGATCTGCTATGTGACAATGTACTCATTTAAGATAAGCTTTGTCTTTGGTGAGTACACTGTATACATAGTTTATACTTCGTAATTCGATTCTTCTGTTCCGCGTAATTTGTAATATTTAAAAGTGACGAATACCTGTACTTCTTTCAACAGCATTTTGGCCCGATCTATTAACGTAAATATATCTAGTTGGCAATGTTAAAGAATGAGTTCGATTTTCATTGACATTATAAATCCAAAATCAAAAGACAGTTAACTAAAGCAGGCAAAGCTGTCATGCCTGAATGCTTGTTGTACGGCTGTGATTAATAATCAGCACATAGGCTAGATGCGTATGCTGTCACACATGCAGTGATATCAGCAGCATGCAATATTCATATAATTTTTGCTTTACGGCTTAAATTACAAGACGGCAGCCGCATGTTTGTGTTGGTAAGGCTGTTCACATGGCCGATTTTAGTTTGCGATTTTCTCCTTTTGCTGGCACACACATTTGAGTATAAATCAGTACATGAAATCTGAATGCAAATGAGAATATAACGTGCTCAGCAATCTTGCATGTATTCGTTTGTGGGTGCACAGAACATGCCAAGTGGATCAACATATAAACTACCGGTATGCTTCCCAAATGAGTTCCAGTCATTGTTTAATTTCTCTCTGCAGATAGGGCTATTTATGATCAACCCTTTGACATTCCTTCATTCAGTGTTCCATCAAGAAAAAATGAAGACTGGAATTGAAAAGGTAAGCGAGTTAAAGTGCCCCTGACACAAAATATTTTTTCAGTCTATTGAAAGTACATATTTAGTATAGTGTTCTAGCAAAAGAATTTTTCGATTTCATCAAAACGAAAAAATTTTAGAGCCGTTTGAATCCAAATATTTTTGGCTAATGGCCGTCGGCGACAGAAGTCTAGCACTAGCATTTATTCTGACGTCACGCAAATCAAATCATAGAATTCAAATCATGGAAGTTGTTTCATCTGTGATCTTTCAAACTGAAAAAAGGAAACATATCAGTGACATACTGGTATAAAGTGCATGTAAGAACAGTAATGAGTATCACTAATATTAAACTGAAATGGATATTAAATAATTTGAAAAAACTTAAAACAAAGTGTACTGATCAACTTAAGTCTCTTATATCAACTCATCAGCCAGCCAATTACATATTTCCAACAATACATATGATTCTTGTATTTCTTGAAATTGTGCTTGGATAAGTTGGATTTTAATATGCAAATTACCAACCAGAAACGGTATGACATAACATGATGTCTTTCAAAATTAAGTAAAGCAATACAAAATTTTCATGTAAGAATATATTTTGTAGCAATACGAACAAAAATATAAAAATAACTCAAACCTAACTATGAACAGTATCTCGGTGACGAAAAACACCGCACTAAATTGTTAAATTACAGCTTCAAAACTTTAAATATTCTTTGTAAATAAGACTAGATAAGACCACATAATTACCTTCTTTTTAACCAAACATTCATTTTTTGATAATTTAGAAGGAATTTAATCGTCGCTGAAAATCCACTTTTTGCAGTGGATTTTCAGCGACGATTATATTCTATATAAAAATAATAACTCTATATAAAAATAGGTACGCACTGCGTACATGTTGCATGCCATCTAAAACTTATGATCATAGATATCTTATATAAGATATCTATGCTTATGATGGGCTATAGCGCTTATAACCTTTGGTACAACTGGCGTGAAACTTAAAATATCGATTCAATACATTTAATATCAATATATTTATTGCAAAATAGCTATTATGTCAAAATAAGAAAACCTAAGACTCTCACGCGAATTTGCCTACGGTGCAGACCCCAGCAGAAACACGCGCATATAGACAATGTTTTTTTAAGCGACCGTTAATAGTTAGCTGCAAGCGACGGTAATAATAACATTAAAGGGAGTCCCTTAAGGGACCCTACAGTCATTTTTTAGTCGAAAAGCCACCATAAGTAGGGGACTCCACGGAGATTCGTTTGGCTGTATCTTACATGCAGTATCCATGAATATGAGTACTTCCGCACACCGGAAGACGCATGCATGCCGTGATGCGCATGTCAAGTAGTGACAATAACAAAAATGTAAACAATACTAATTACTTGACTAAAAAATGACTGTAGGGCCCATTTAACAATGTCAAGGCGGGTCAAGGTTTTATCAAAAGCGATTGACTGTTAGATTTACTTTACAAATTAATAACTAAATAACGTTATTTCCTATAGATATAGCTTTATTGTAACTTTTTAATGGGTATAAAAAACGCGTGGA